CGCACCGGCGACTTTTCAGATGACCATGAACGAGGCATTTAGACCGCTCTTAGATAAATGTGTGATAATTTACCTCTACGACATCCTAGTTTACAGTTGGGATAAGCAGCAGCATTTAGCAGATCTGGAAGCAATATTTAAGGTTTTAGACGAGCACAGATTACTGACCAAGGGTTCCAAGTGCGAGTTCTTCCAAGATAGGTTAGAGTTTTTAGGGCACCCGATTTCGGAGGCTGGAGTTGAAATCGACCCAAAGAAGCTGGACACGGTAAAAGCGTGGCACCCCCTGACGAACATCACGGAGCTGCAGAGCTTTTTAGGGTTCGTTAATTATGTGCGTCGGTTCGTCCCCGGTATGGCACGGTTAACTGCCCCACTGACGGATTTAATGCGAAAGGGGGTCGCTTTTACGTGGGGGGAGAAAGAGCATGCTGCCTTCTCTGCCCTGAAAAATGTTCTCTGTTCACCGCCCGTCCTGCGCATCACCGACCCACACCGCCCATTCGAAGTAGTTACCGACGCAAGTGACATCGCCATCGGAGCCGTACTACTACAGGACTTCGGCAACGGCCTACAGCCCATCGTATACGAGTCACGAAAACTGCATCCGCCCGAGAAAAAATTCCCGATACACGACCGCGAAATGCTTGCGATCGTGCACGCGTTCAAAGTATGGCGCTGTTACTTGACCGGCGAAGACGTGATAGTACGGACAGACCATAAGTCACTACAGTACCTTCGCGCACAGCCACACCTCAACCCACGACAGATTCGCTGGCTCGATTTCCTCGAGTCCAATTTTCACTACACGGTCAGTTACAAAATGGGAGCCTTGAACATCGCCGATGCACTGACCCGCCCCACTGCCCAGATCCACGCAATACTACTCGCCCAGACAAGCCCACTACAGACAGGCCTTATTACACACGGGTACCAAATAGATCCATTCTTCACATGAGGAAATTCGCAGCAGTTCGCAGCAGCAAGGGGAGTCTATTACGTAAAAGCTAGGACTGACCGCATTTGGGTACCTGGGTATACACTGCTACGGGAATTACTGTTATAGGAAGCACACGAAGGAGTTACCTCGGGGCATTTCGGAGTAGAAAAAACACAGCAGCAGCTGCATCGGTATTATTACTGGCCCGAAATGTTGACCGACGTACAACGACACGTGGCATCATGTCCCACTTGCCAGCTCATGAAATCATCAAGGCAACGGCCGGCAGGACAGTTGCAGCCGATACCACCCCTAGAGCGTGCTTGGTAGCAGCCGGACTTCGTCACGGGGTTACCGGCCGGGGCGAGTGGGAACGACACGATCCTGGTCGTCGTCGATCGACTGACGAAAATGGCACATTTCGCAGCCTGCAAAAAATAAATCACAGCCGAAGAAACAGCACACCTCTTCATCTCCACCGTCGTTCGACTGCACGGGATACCAGCCGCGATCATCAGCGACCACGACACGAAATTCACCAGCAACTTCTAGTTCATCAGCTCAGCACGCGACTGCAGTTTAGTTCATCATACCACCCCGAAATCGACGGACAAACAGAACGGACAAATGAGACCATGGAACAGCTCATCAGGACCACGTCTGACGACCCGACAACGTGAGAACAGCAACTGCCACTCATCGAATTCGTGTACAACAACTCGCCATCCGTCACGACCCAATAGTCACCATTTTACCTAAACCACGGACAAGACCCGACAGTATCCATGACCCCGAATCCCGACAACCCAGTACCACGTGCACAACATTTCGCCAAAACATTACAAGCAGCACGGACCCGGGCAGCAAACGCAATAAAAAAATCGAACATCATTGCTCAACGCAACGCCGACCGCCACCGCAGATCTGTCACTTACCAGCCCGAGGACCTAGTTTTACTTGACACTCAAAATCTCCGACTGCCCATCACCCCGAAACTCTGACCCCGATACTGCGGGCCATTTCGCATAAGCCACATGATTACACCCGTCACCGCCCACCTCCTCCTCCCTGCTGACTGGTACATCAGCCCCTCATTCCACGTCAGCCTGCTTCGCCCTTACGTCCCGTCCACGAGCCAACTGCCACGCAATCCCCCAGTCAGCATGACAAGACCACCAACTGAACCAATCATCACCCCTGAGAAAATCCTGAGTCACAGAGTTCGCGACCCTCGAGGAGCCCGAAGGATCGAGTTCTTGCTCCGCTGGAAGGACCGTACACCCACCGAAGACAATTGGGTTCCACTGGACAGAATTGAAAACCACCCCGTCCTCACCGAGTATCTGCGCAGCCGAAATTTCAGGGATGTACACGCACTTTCGTAAGGAGGACTTGCTTTGGGGGGGGGTAGTGCCAGGAAAATTCCTTTTCCTTACTTCGCGTCCCCGCTCAGCGCGTACACGAGGGCTCTCGTTACCAGACTAAATTAGTCTGTTGGTCTAGGTTTTAGGCACAAAACGTATAGTTCATATGTTGCGGCAGACTTTGCCTTTGGGGCCATATGAGAGCCCAGACAAATGGTATATGTTCATATGTTTTTTCAGGAGAGTTATAGCAAGGGAGCTGATCAAGTAGAAATCGCGTATAGTTTCATCTGAAAGAGACAAACTGGCCCACTTGGCCATTGGAGCAGCGATGTGTTGCCTGTGTGATCACGCGTAATGATATTTGCGTGCGGGCGCCGGGGTTAGTTTTGGATTTTTCCTGCCAGCGCACTTCGCATCTGACTCAGTTGCTGCCACGCATCTGTCAGGTAGCTGTTGTCAACGCCGCTGCCACGTTTCCCCCTCCCTCGCTGGCAGAGTGCAAGGACAGTCGGTGTACAGCAAACAAGGCATGCATGGGCTGCCATCGCACTTTCGTGAGACCCTCGTCAGAGAGGTGCGGTTCGTGACAAGACGGTCCTTACCACCCATCCTTTCTTCTCCAAACCTTTCTTTGACCATCCTTGCTCTCTCTCCGTTTCAATTCGTCCCGTCCCGTCCTCATGTGTCTCACCACACAATACCATGCTAGCCGAACATGGCGCACCCGCCTCAACCAACAACGCTAAGCGTGATTCACCCGCGGTACCTGAGGCGCCCCTGGTATCCGCGTTAGATTTCTTAACGCGGAAAGCTCCCGCCGCGATTCCAGTAACCACAACTGCCGTAGTAGGGACTCCTCCGCCTATAATTCCTCCCCCCACGTCATTTCGTCCTGCAACAACGGGCCTATTATCCCCTCGCCATCCACGTCAGATGCGGCAGAGACCTCGACCCAGCCTAGCACGGCTGAAGCTGAGTTGTCGCCCCCGCCCATTTCGGCATCTGTGGCTACCGCACCTGCAATTTATTTTTCTCGCGTTAGAGTTGGGAACGGCAATTTCAAACAGCGTGTTCTCAGTTTTGCCCGTCCCACTCCAGGTGTCGCCCCAGCTACCGTCCCCCGCTTCACACCTTGTCCAGGCCCATCAAAACTCGTCGCCGTCGACAAGGACGACAAGTACCCCCATGTCCTGACCGTCGAGCAGTGGCAGGAGAAGGCGAAGGAGAAATGGCTCAAGCACTTCCCGTGGCTCATCATCTCGTAGACCTCATGGGGTCAACCCTGTATGAGGTGCTCAATCTGCATGGTGCACGGTGACCCCAGCTACCAGTACGGCCGAGACGGGGAGGGTGGGCTCGACATTCAATGACAGACGATGCGGAAGCACCAACATTTGATCAAGCATGAGGCGGCAGTGGATCAACAACAGCTACGAGACGGCAAGAATGCGGCTCATAAGACTATTGTCGACTTCGAAAACGGTGACGCGGAAGCCAACCGTTTGGCAAAACTGTTGGCAACAGTTATTTTCATTTGCAGAAGCGACTCACCCATTGTGCTGTTTGTGTCGCTGGTCCAGTTCATGGCAGAAATGGGCACGCCGGACATGCCCCTGAAGGATTCCGGCACATACTGCAGCGAGTAAGTGTTGGTATGCTTTGGGGGACCCGCTTGTTAAAACCCGCTTGTTTCTAAGATGGTTTTTTCCTGATCGTTGCAGGTACGGGTTCGCGCAGTTGGTCGAGATACTCGTCGTCTACCTTCGTGCTCAGCAGATGAAGCACATCCGGGAGAGTCCTTACCTGGGCATTCAGTTGGACGAGAGCACGGACCGTCGACGCGGAAAACACCTCATCGTCTATCTGTCATTCCTCCACAACAACACGCCAGTCACGGAATTCTTTGCGCACATAACAGTTGAGCAGTGCGATGCTGGTTCCTTGCAGGCATTCCTTCTAACCCACTTAGAAGGAACCGGCCTTGAACTTGAACGCGTCAGTCGCATCAGCACCGACGGTGCAAGCGTCATGGTCGGTTCTCAGACGGGCCTGGTGGCGCGCCTTCGAACACGGATTCCACACTTCGCCGGGCTCCACTGCGTCGCGCACAGGTGTGTAACCCGACATCTGTTATTTTTTCCATGCGTTGCCTGTTTATCTAACTTATCGTTTTTCCCGTGTTGTGTCAGGGAAGCTTTGGCGGTAAAGGATGCCGCCGAGGCCTACCCCGACCTTGACCTCGTCGACAGAGTCGTCCGCTCTTTGGCGGAGCAGCTTGGACGGTCGGGCAACTTCCACCTACGCTTCAAAGAGCTGCATGAGGTGCTCTGCCAAACAAACCTGGAGCTGCAGGGCATCCACAACGTCAGGTGGCTTTCACGTGGTTTGGCAGTTCAGCGTCTGGCGAACAACCTTCCAGCAGCTGTCATTCTGCTGTACGAGAACGACCTGAAGGCCTACTTCCTTGTAACCAGCTTTAAATTCAACTTCCTGCTGTTTTTCTTGGCTGATGTGTTGAAGGAACTCGACGCACTCAACCTCAAGTTCCAGCGACGGCAGGTACGCTGTTACGCTCGTTGGTTTGACGGGTTTTGTATTGTGATTTTGAACCGAATTTCTGTGACACTGACCCGTGCAAGCCTTTCCACGGCCTCTCATGTGTGTGGCAGGTTGATGTGACACACGTGCTGCAGATGGTGGACAACACCAGGCTCACCCTCCGCAACCGTTACCTGAGTGACACGGACGACTTTGGAGAGGGGAGCAACGAGCTGAGCGCCTTTTTGACGAAGCATGCGTCATCGGAGAAGAGGGTGGTGAAGGTGACGGGCACCGACTCGACTGGGGCGCCAACCACTCATGAGTACACCCTCCACAAGCAGAAAATTAAAGGTCAGAAATTGGGCGGGGGCTTGGACGACTGCATCACACTGGCGAAGGGGTACGTGAAGGAGCTGTTGAAGCGTTTGGAGAGCCGGATGAAGGATTTGGGCTCTCTCGAGGGCGCCAAGCTGTTCACGCAGGGGGCGTACCGGAAATCTCACTCGAAGCGGCAGCGGCGGTTCTTGCAGTGGCCGGAGGCTCTCCGCAATCTGTTTAAGCAAAAACCGACCGACCCTGACACCCTGCCAGATACGTCTTCGATGTCGGTTGTGCCCGATTGAGTCGAACATGTTGTTTGTGTCGCCATATGCCTCGTTGATTTCTTTGAGCCTGGTGGCTTATGAACACCAGCGCGGTCTAACATTACACTTCTTTCTGATTCGCACCCTGCCACCAGGAGTCAACTGGACGAGGGCACAGAAGGAGCTCGGCAGTTTCACCACCATCATGTCAACCCATCAGCACGAGCTGAGCTTCCAGGACGGCCTGAAGCAGATGCTCAACTCCCTCGACTGGTGCACTGCCTACCCCAACTTGGTCCGCCTTTGGATGGCAGTCGCAGTGCTGCCCCTGAGCACCGTGGAGTGCGAGCGGGGCTTCTCCCGCCAGAACATCATCAAGAGCAGGCTACGCGGCAATCTTAACGACGCGAAGCTGGGCGACTTGATGACCGTCTCCATGCTGAAGTACGAACCTGACTGGCCCGCCCTTGTGGAGTTGTGGAGAGGCGCGAAGAGGAGGCGTCCAGCCAAGGATGTGGTGATGGTGCATGCGCAGAGGCCCGTGAAGCGCACGAAGAAGACCCTTGCGATGCTGGCCGCGAAGCAGGCGGCAGCAACAGCAGCAGCAGCAGCAGATGCTGCTGCTCGTGAAGCAGCAGCTGCAGAAGAAGCAGCCAGGCTAGAGGAGGAGTTGGGCCCCTGGCAGAGACGGGCAGGCCACAGCAAAGTGCACATGGCTTCAGATTCAGAGCTAGACGGGGACGATGAGGAAGATTATTCTCATGATAGCGATAGTGAATCTTAGTTCGTATTCTTTGTATGGTTATCTGTAGAAATAGAGTAGTCTGTGTGTAGAGTAGACTACATAGTTACATAAATGTCTGATTTCGTAAAAATCTGTCTAAGCGGACATACTAACTTAGAAAATCCGTTTGAGGCAAAGACCATCAGGAATCCTCCATATGAGGGCCAGACGATTTTTTTTTTTTTTTTTGGAAAACGTCAGGCGGGCCTAAAAGTTACCGTAGCAAGAGCCCTGGCGTACACGGTACACCACTGTAGCACCACAGTCAGCACCGTTACCACTCGCAACCCTCACATCGACAATCCTCCCGCCACCTTCGCACGTTGACGTCGCACCCCGACCTCACGGCTCGATGGGTAACCCGCACTCCGGGCCTCCGCTTCGACACTTTTCCCAACCTCAGTCCCAGGCCCGTCACGCGACAACCACAGTCCATTACCGTTACCACTGTAGTTTCGCTATATAGTCTTCGCTCATGCCTTCACTCATTGTACTCTTGCTTCGATAGTGCAATTCTCGTTCGTTCACTCAATTGCACTCGTAACACAACACCATGCATGCACCTGTCAAACAACTTAATGCACCTGTAGTAGCATGGCTGCGTGGTTGGTGCTGGTGGAAAGAGAACATGCAGAAGGAACTCCCTAGTGGTACATTCATGACCTACCGTACTACACTCCACCTCCACCTACCCTAAAGCAGCAAGAAAGCGGTGATGGAAGTATACGTAAGAAAGCATGGTGGCTGGCAAGAATCTTCTTAAAGTCGAACCCCATTTCACACGCAATCTAAGTGACACCATACCACATGGCAGTGGTGTGAGTGAAAGGTCCTCAGGGCTGGTACAAACGCGCCCAACACTCTGCCTAGGCTGCGATTGTTTCACTCCACAAACCCCCGTCCCTTCCCATCCCTGCTCCTTCTGTTCTCGCCCCACTTCCCATGCACTGCCCACTGCCCCTCCTTCATTCATGGTCGCCCTGCTGCCATCCTGCACCACCCCGTGACTTGACCACTCCCCTGACCAAATCTTCCCAAAACGTGCCACCTCCGATTTTGTTGCCAGCTGTTTGAGCGTTTCCTCCCGGCTCCCCTTACTGCTGCTGCAATCGTCCCGACAACTCTGCTCCCCCCTCTGCTTCAACCGAAAAGCACCAAATCTGCTCCCATCCAAGCCTGCTCCCACCCAAGCCTGCTCCTATCCGAGCCTGCTCCTATCCGAGCCTGCTCCCATCCGAGCCTGCTCCCATCCGAGCCTGTTGTTGACTTAATCAGCTCACGTGGCATCTCATAATCTTCCACACGTGCGTCACACCCTGCATCCCCTTTCCACTCCCTCCCTCCCTACTTCGCTCCCTGTTTACGTCCCATCCTCCCTCTTTCCCTCCCATGCTCCTTTCACTCCCATCCTCACTCTTTCCTTCTCTCCCTCTTTCTCTCCCATGCTCCAGCTTTCCCTCCCATTCTCCCTCTTTCCCTCTCTCTCTCTCTATCCCGCCCTCCCTCTCTTTCTCTCTTCCTCTCTCCTTTCCTCCCTACCTCCCAACTTCCCCCCCTCCATCCCTCCTCCCAGCCTCCCTCCACTGCAGCCCTACCTTTCAACACTTATCTCCACCGCTCCTCTCCACTGCTCTCGCCACTGCTCCCTCGCACCAAATTCCATTACCCCTACTGTGCCCCTATTCCATTCACCGCTTCCCCTCACTTCCTCCCTTCACCTCCTCCTTCACCTTCCCTTTCCCCTCATCCCTTCCCATCTCTCCTTCGCCTCCTCCCTTCCCCTCCTCCCTTTCCCTCCTCCCTTCCCCTTCTTCCTTCCTCCTCCCTTCCCCTCCTCCCTTCCCCTTCTTCCTTCCTCCTCCCTTCCCCTCCTCCCTTCCCCTTCTTTCTTCCCCTCCTCCCTTCACCTCCTCCCTTCCCCTCCTTCCTTCCCCTCCTCCCTTCCCCTCCTCCCAACCCCTCCTTCTTCCCCTCCTCCATTCCGCTCCTCCCGTTGCCTACTCCCTTCCCCCTCCGCCCTTCACAGCTTGCCAAAGAATTACCCAGCAACTTTTTCTGCAGCGCAGCAGCAGCCACACTTTTGCGACGCCTAAATCGCCTCTTCCCTTTCCCTCCTCCCTTCATACCCCCCCCCCCCCCCCTTCATCAACCCCCCCTCCGCCCCCCACTTCCCCCCAATTCACCGTTTCCCAAAGAGATACCCAAACAGCCCCTTCTTCTGAGGCGCAGCCGCCGCCGCAGCAGCCGCGCCCTTCTTATCATGCCCCTTACTCGCCCCACCACCACGAGCAGCAGCAGGCGGAGCCGCCTCCGCTTCTTTCTCCCCCTTTGTCTGCTCCGCGTATTTTTTCAGCATGGGCAGCACCACCGTCTCCAGATCCGGCCGGCTCATCCTGTCCCTACATTTCAGCGCCACGTCAGCAACCTCCTTCACAATCTCCGGGTTCCACTGAACCGTCTTATCCAGATGATCCAGAATCCCATCCAACCCGAATTTCGCAAACTCAAGCACCTTATTCACCTTCTCGCCGGTCAACAGCTGCAGGATCACCAACCCTAATCCGTACAGATCCGACTGCGGGCCGTACTTCCCGGTGCGGAGAAGCAGCGGATCGATGTAACCAACCGTACCCCAGATCGACGAGTCGTTCGCGGGGAGAAACTTCGCCAGACCGACTCCTCCGACCTTACAGGAGAGATCTTCGTTCAGCATGACGTTTCCGGGTTTCACGTCCTGGTGGAGAATCGGCGGCTCGAGATGGTGGAGGAAAAGCAGCGCTTCTGACGCCTCCGCCGCGATCCGCAGCCGGTGCTTCTGCTTCATCGTTTTCCGTCCCCCCTCCGTCAGCAGACGGTCCTCGAGGCTCCCCGCCGGGAGCGACTCGTACACGATACAGCGTGCCTCGGGATTGTACCCAAGGAGCTTGACCAGATGCGGGTGGTCCGCGCGCGTGAGGATGGTCACTTCGCGGGTGAATTTCTCCGCGGCTTGGCGGGTGTTATCCGGGTTCAGCTTCATTACAAGCACGGGGGAACCGTCCGCGAGCTTTCCGCGGTAACCCGTGCCGAAGCCGCCGCGACCGAGCGAGTTTTCCCGCGCGTAGTTATTCGTGGCCTCGTCGAGCTCCTCTGCTGTGAACGTCTTTAAGGCCGCCTCGGTCCCCATCGCGATCTACTGGAGCTGGTAATATTGTTGCTGCTGGTACAGCTGGTGATAACGTTGCTGTTGGTAAAGCTGATGATGCTGTTTTTAATCCCTAAAAATAAAACACGTGCTGCTGTTGCTTGAGGGTACAGGCTGTTTTGCCGCGAATAGCATGGCCTATGCTACCTCGGACTCCGACACGTGGCAACAAAATGACATATAAAGTTGCGAGTTAAAAATGTGGAACTCGAACCAGATAATAACTGCCTCACGTTACCTGCGTCTGTCACACTCGATAATGGCCACACCGATAGATACCCGCTAACAACAACTATTAGCAGCAACGTAGCAACGTCCACCACTAACTTGAATATCCTTGACTTATGTCACCAAGTTCACATATTACGGTTGCTCCCGTTGTTCTGCTGAATAAACTAGACGCGTGATGTAAAGGTAACGAACTCGAGAAAAACTCGCAACCGAGAGTAAGGAATCACGAAGGCCGCGATGGTCGGAGACTAAGGACGGCCGAATATGGGCCCTTAGAAGACCAACTATTTGAGCCAAAGTTGATCTGAGCTACAAATGCACCAGAAAAAACAATTCCCAGCCCTCAAGGTATTGCTGCCATATTGTTGTCTCTAGCAAAAGGATCAGATCAGTGCATTTTCTGGCTATTCAGACTTTCTTTTTCCCTGGCCTTTCGCCCTGGGTGCTTAGCGGGTTCGTTGCTCACGCTTGTCAGCTGAAGAGGTACAAGGTTTGCTGAGATGCATTTTAGCCGATTAGAAGATTTTAGAGCGTTAAAGGAAGATCCAGTCAGATACAGTGTGATGAGGTATTGTGGCATGGTGGGCGTTCAGACTTGCTCGTTCTATTCGTACACCCCAAATACACTGGTGCACTCAGTTCCTAAACTTCACGGAAGGGGGATGCTATGCTGTGGTGGAGGGAGAAACTGTCAGAAAGAAGGGTCTTGTTTCGTGCGGTCGATTCACTGTTGAATTAGCTTTCGACTTGCTACCGCGTTAGTGGCGTGACGAATAAATTTCTCTCTACAATGATAGATGCATATCCATTCAACAATGTTAGATAATTTCAGTGTAGCAGACCTACCCATTGTAGACAACATATTGTTACAAGGTCTGCAGTATAATAAGCGCTAGCTGCGAACTGGAAACCGCGATACCATGTACACTTTACACGAGCTGGCCGCAGTCCTGAATAGTAACCTCCACCGACGTCTTGCCACTGTCGCTACCGACTGACTCCAGCTTGTCAACGACATCCATTCCTGATGAGACAAAAAGCAAATACCACACTTTAAATCTCAAAAGATTTCAAACTTCCACAATCCCCATCTTACTGCTTGTCAACAACCACCATCCCCACACAGCTGTCTCCCTCACTCACCTACCCCCCTTACTAGTATACCCCTTAGTTCTCCCCACATCCCCTCCCAACCCCACTAAACCCACCTGAAACCACCTTCCCAAAGACGACATGCTTGCCATCCAGGTGAGGCGTAGCAGTGAAGCAGATGAAGAACTGGCAGTCTGAGAGGGTGGGGAGGGGAGGGGGAGAAGCAAGCATGGAAAGTGAGTTGGTTGGAAGCACCAACGCACATGCACACCCATCATCTATGACCACCTTCCTGGTGACGGCCGTCCAGGTAAGGCGTAGCAGTGAAGCAGATGAAGAACTGGCAGTCTAAGGGGGTGGGGAGGAAAGGAAGGAGGAGGGAGGGATGGGGGAAATGGGAGAGAAGAGGTTAGAAAGTGAGGTGGTAGCATTAACGCACAGCCAGCCCCCCAAACTGCAAACAACATCCCAAGCGACAGTCTGAGCTATGTGATACAGGAAAGGGAGGGTGACAGAATGAACACGAGGTAGTGTAGGCGAGTGATAAAAGAGAGGATGATGCAAGAGAGGGTGACGCAAGGGAGGGTGGTGAAAGCAAGGATTGATGGTGTGATCCGTTTGAAAACGAATTCGTCAGGAAAGTGCAAAACGGGGGAATGACTTTGCACTGTGACACACATCCACCATTGTTCCTCCACTCACTATTCGTGTTGGGGCCGCGATTCGCCATGGAGAGAACGCCTCTGCCGGTGTGCCTCAGCTCGAAGCTCTCGTCAGGGAACGGCTGGCCGAATATGGAACTGCCGCAGTTGCCTCCCTGCCATGTGAAATATGTGGTAAAAAACAAACAAACAAAAGAAAACGGAAGTAAAGTTCGGACACGTAGCAGATGGAGTAGTGGGAGAAGACAGGGACGAGGTTTAGTGTCGACCTAGAAGGCGAGGGACGATGAGAGGGACGCTTGTATACAGGCGGATGTGTGACGCAGTCTGCGTTCACCACTTACCTGCGCTGTCACCTACCCGCGATTCGACGCGTACCTACGTTTGGACGCGCACCCGGAGTTCGACACCTACCTGCGGTTCGACACCTACCTGCGGTGCGACCCGTACCTGCGCCATGAATCCGGGGATGATGCGGTGCAGCGTCAGGCCCTTATAGCCCAGTCCCGAGCTTGTCCCATTGCACAAGCCGACAAAGTTCTCCACCGTCTTCGGCGCCACGTCCGGCCGGACCTCCACCTCGATTCTGCCGACGAACTGCCCGTCGAACGCAATGTCCAGGAAGCATCGCGGTCGCGCTGCGGAGCTCATCGTTGAAAACCGTTTGAAACCGAATACGACCGTTTAAAAGCCGAGTGAAAGCGCTGCGGCTTGAAGGCTTCAAGCTCACTTCCGCGTTTGCGACACGACCGGTGTGTCCGAAATGGCGAAAGCTTTCGCGAACGACGAAATCCGTATGTCCTCACGGACAAAGAGCGAATCTGTGGAGGGCGAAACAGATTCTTCTTCAGAAAGGAGAGAGCGCAAGGGAGCGACGAGCGGTACCTACGGACGGACGAGAAGCGGAGAGGAGGCGACGACGAGACCAAACACCAGATCTTACGGAAACATTATGGCCGTCCCTATTCTCGATAATTTCACACCCCTTAAGCGCACACCCTGGAGTAAATACTCCCGGTCAAACGTTTAAGTAGGGTAGCAAGCAACGATTGTAGACTATCGGAGGAGGGGGTCTCGCAACCTTCTCGCGAATGGAAGAAAAAAACCTGGAGTTTCAAGGGCAGCCATCCACCCCTACTACTCACTCGGAAAATTAAGTGCTAGACTCCATACTACCCTCGTCAATCTTTGGGTGTCTCTCATATCGAACCAGAAAACGTACAGGGTACCTTCGAAATAGATGATAGGGGTATGCAATTATCGAGAATAGGGTGTACAAAGAAGAATGTCGCCTACGGGAATTTATTCTTGTCGTATCCGTTGAATGCCTCGCTCGCGGTGTTCCCTATGCCAGGAACCAGGACGAGCTTCTTCCTTAAGATCTCAAGGTTGGCGAAAATACTTGCGTAACATAGAGATTGTTACATTACCGAGCTTGAGCAACTGGAGCGCAATAACCGTATACAGTCTCCGCCATGACAACCTAGGATGCTCGTTATTGACATCAGCCTAGAAATAACAGATATGGTAAGGAATATAGTTGCACCCCGCATGTCACGTGCCCTTTCCCAAGATGGTCAACCTACAGAGCACTTTCAGAGTGCTTTGTTCAGCCCTCCCTCCACCCCGCCCCAATGCATTCACAAATCTAAGCACAAACCAGAGTGTTCTTGAGAATTCTCAGAAACACCCAACACAAAATCCACACAATGCCAGGAAAAGGCTCAAGGAATAAGACCCAATGAGTGAAACCTGCTCTGTGAAGTTCCTGACCTGACTCCTCCTGAGCTGAGCCTGCCATATTGTGGAGGCATATCAGATTCAGAAGTTACAATTGCCTGAAATTGTGCCATCACCCTGTTACGGTTACCATACCTGCCACCTGTTCCTGCTACGGTACTCACAACCTGTTAACCAAGCATAG